GGGAATATATTGAATGTCGTGCCGTGGGAATATACTGAGTTAAAGGATGAAGTGGTTGACAGGCCTGTGGCCTGTGCCTTCACTGGGGACCCTGAGCAGAAGGTTAAACCTGCCGCTTGCTGGCTTCCTCACCCACCCACCTACCTTTTGCCTTGCCGCTCATGACCATCTCCAGGAAATGATGCAGGGAGGTGTTGACGGTGCGATAGAACCAACCCCGGCCTCCTCTGAAACAGTTCTTAGACACGCTTTTAAAATGCTGGCCCCAAAGCACAGGCTTTTGAAACATGGTTTCCAAAATATAGATGGCAGAGACCCCTCCAGGGCAGCTCCAGGTGAGGAATGCTTTTTGAATCCTCTAGAGACAGGACTTAGCATTTATAGAAATGACTCACTTCCTCCCTTTTCTGAGTAAAGCCTCCTATTAAGGCTGCCTTTCAACAAGTACTCCCAACCAGCTTAAGACAAGCCCTTCCTTTGACCCCCAGAAACAAAAATGTCAGTGACAAGAGTTCGACCCCCCGGGCATTGTAACATCGCTCAGGTACTTCTAGGCCTGCTCCAGTTGGCTGATTGCCCCACTGGTGGGTCTCCAACCTTCTCCCATTTCTCTCTCTATCACCCCTTACTGGTTTCAAATGGATAGAGGTCATTTCTGGGGTACCACCAAGGCTCTCGGGCTGCTTTGCTTTTCAAGACTGCAAACCAGTCTCATTTCATGCTGGAGAAACTGCTTGCCCTTTCAGATACGAGGTAGTCAGTCCATTCAAGTCAGCTGTCAGACTGGGTTAAATGGATACAAACTCCCTCAGCGTTCCATAAATCCCAGCTATTGAACCCAAGAAGTGTGGACATGTCTCCTCCTCACAAGGCCTGGGGTTAACATTTTAATATTAAAAACCAAGCAGAACCTTAGCAGAATCTATTATACCACTTTTCAGATGACAGTGTGAGACCTCAGTAAGTTTCAAGCTTACTCCTAGTCCCCGAGGGCTTGCTCACACTCTTGCTAGGAAAGGTCTTAGTGGAAAGGCTTGAGCACCATGGAGCCAGGCTGTCTGTGTGTCTAACGTCCAAGTGCTAAGTCTCCTCCCACCCGTCAGCCTGCATTCTCTGAAGAGCTGACGCACAGAGTGAAAGAAAATATAAGGACTAGAATTTAGAATGCACCGGCTCTTGGAGGGAGGTGAGTTTTGCTTCCTGAGCTCTGTTTACCATTTCTTGGGCTGAGAAGCGGTGTATTTCATCCAAGCACTTACTCTCCATCGCTTGTGGAAGTGTTTACTGAAGGCCCATTTGTCCCAGACCCTTGCATTATGGGCAAGGAATAGACCCAAGGCACTGAGGTAGAAGTTGGGGGTGTGGGTTGTGCATGGAAAATAAAAGATGAGGTTCCTTCCTTCAAGGAACTTAGCAGCGGTGTGGAGAATCAAGAGGAAGGTAGGTAAACCCTCGCAAATGCAGGTCACAAATGAATGATAAATCCTGTGCTAGGAGCTATAAATGCGATAGGAAATCAAGTCAGATGAAGGTGCTCACCAGGCCTCACGTCAAATGCAGGCCTCCCAGCAGAGTAACCCTGATGACTGACAATATCATTGGATGGAGAAATAAACTGTGGTATGTATATGCAGTGGAATATTATTCAGCCCTAAAGATAAATGACCTTCTGACACATGCTACAACATGGATGAGCCTTGAAAACATGCTAAGTGAAATAAACCAGACACAAAAAGACAAATATTTTACAATTCTACTTCTATGAGATACCTAGAATAGTCAAGTTCATAGAGACAGAAAGTGGACTAGAGCAGCGGTTCTCAACCTGTGGGTCGCGACCCCTTTGGCGGTCAAACAACCCTTTCACAGGGGTCGCCTAAGACCATCCTACATATCAGATATTTACATTACAATTAATAATAGTAGCAACATTACAGTTATGAAGTAGCAATGAAAATAATTCTATGGTTGGGTCACAACATGAGGAGCTGTATTTAAAGGGCCGGAAGGTTGAGAACCACTGGACTAGAGGGCACCAGGGTCTAGGGAGAGGAGGGAATGGGGAGTAACTATTTAGTTGGTTATAATGTTTCAGTGTGGGCTGGTGAAAAAGTTCTAGAGATGGGGAGTGGTGATGGCAGCACAACAAACTGAATGTACTTAAGCCACTGCTTAAGTACATTAAACATACTTAAACATGATTAAGATGGTCAATTTTATGTTACCCATATCTTGTCACATAAAACATACATGTACACATGCACATACATACAGTGTCCTTGGGCCACACCGAAATGCCCAAAAGTTTTCGTGAGCTCTCCCACAGGGAAGTCAGGCACACAGGACTGCATGTGCCCCCCCCCCCCCCCCCCCCCCCCCCCCCCCCCCGCTCTCGCCACTGAGTGGGCATTGGGAGGAGCCAACGTCTTACCCTGGAGTCCCCGCAGGCTGAGGCTGCCCTGTGCACCTTGTTATTTGTGGTCTCTTGAAGCTTACAATGTTCACTGTGCAGGGATTGTCAGGGATCAAACTGCTGAAAAGGGGGTCCCCTTGATTGGTTGGAGACAGCCAGACAAGCTCCTCTGGCTCTCTGGCCGGCAGCAGAAAGCTTTGATAGGAGGGACCCATGCGGTTCTGAGAAAGTTGGTCTTTGTTGCTCCCTCTGGTTGCCAAAATAAACCGGAACGCTTCATTCCAAACAGAAAGCTGAGTGAGAAGCCTGACAGTTTTACAGGGAATAAAAGTCTCAGAGGGTGGTATATTTTAAGTACTTTTTCCTTCCCCTCATAAGTGTTGCTAAAAACAGACACCAGCCAGGGAGGCAGTGCTGGCTTTTGGGGGAACCTGTACCGGGTTCCGTAGCCAAGGGTAAGTTTGAGAGGCGGGAGGGGCTGTCCTGGTTCCCCATGAGCCTTTCCCTGCTTCTCCAGGCAGGATCGGGGTGCCTCTTCCGTCCCCTGGGCACCCCGCTCATGCCCTGTGCCAGCGTTGATCTCACTGCTCACTTGTCTATAGAACCTCTTGAACAAGATCCAGCTTTTACTCAGCTCTTTCTCCGGAGCCCCTGGCAGAGCCATTGCGGGGTGATGCTGAAGACGAGGGGAGGAGGAAGGAAGGAACAGAGGACAAAGCCTGGGCACATGCATCTCAAGTGTGTTTCTAATCCTCTGGTCTCTTTTCAAAAGCTTTCTGTTTCTCAACATCAATTATATGCCAGAGTCCTCAGAAAGTCTTACCTGACCTTGTCTTAGAGCGAGTCGCTTCATTTTCACACGACACAACTGCACTAATTCGCTAATGAAAAAGTAGAATTGAGACCCGGCAGGCCATGATGATGTTGGGAAGTTATTGGAAGATATTTATCAGGACAGATATAGACTCTGGTGATCTGGCCATTACATTTATCCTCTTCTCCTTAGGTTGCATCCAAACTCCATCACATTCTAAAATACCACCCAGAGAAGGTTCCGAGGTGTCCCTTCTTTAGGGTCATCCTGGCATGTCATGACTCTGATGGTCAGTGAGCTATTTTAAAAGGTAGCAGCGAAGTGAAAGAAGTCTATTTTGACAGAGTTATTCACAGGGTCCCTGGCATTGTGTTGGTCCTTCTGGGCCTCCCAGCACCTTACCTAAGGCCCATCTCACAAGACCCACGTGAAGAGGTGCTCGGAAGGAAGCTGGGGTAGGAGGTGGGGGATAGAATTGGAGGTTGCACCTTACCTAAGGCCCATCTCACAAGACCCACGTGAAGAGGTGCTCGGAAGGAAGCTGGGGTAGGAGGTGGGGGATAGAATTGGAGGTTGAGGCTTCCCTCTCTTGCCTTATTTTTGCTGTGAGCCTCATTGGGATGCAAGGAAATACTCCAAACAGCCTGTGAAGAGAGGAAGAATGAGGCAGTTTCCTAAGTTGTCTCTGCCTGAGTTGGCGAGGGCCTGGGGCTCATTCAGCCCTTTGTCCCCAGTTGAGTGCAGTGCGTGTGTGGCGACAATGGAATGATGCAGTTACACTGAGGGCTAATGGTAGGAGTTCCGTGGGCCCATTCTTGGAGGCAGAGGAGGGTGCAGGGCGCAGGGCTCGAGCCAGCCAGCGGAGGAAGTGGAGGCCCGTGCGACGAGCTGGAGGCCACAAACACGCTGTCAGGGCGCCGAGGCTCGGGGCGTGGGCCAGGAGGGGCCGGCATCATGGGAGTTGGAGGCTTTCCCGACCTCCGGCACTGTGGACTGCCACCTGTCCACGCTGACAGACGAGCATTATGGCTCCCCGTTGAATCAGCTTAATTTGGGGCATCGAACCACAATGCCGGTGCTTGAGGCTGGCGGAGGCGGAGGTCGCGGGCGCTACACTTCACCTTCACTGAGGGTGCCGCTCGGGCTAGATCTCCTTTGCTTGGAGAATCTCGGGCCTCTAAGTCTCTACTTGGAGCTGGAAAGAAAACGAGCATAGGGGAAGGAGTTCTGAAACTGGAGGCTTATCTTCTGAAGCCCAGTCTTAGCTTTTAACCAGTAACTGGGGGACAGGCCAGGCTTTAGGGTCTAGCTGTAAAATGAGAGCATTTTGCTGTTTAATGCCCAAAAGTCCTTTGGACCCCCAAATTCGCAGGTTCTGTAATTACCTGTGTATGTGGTCGTATAATTCTGCCCTTTGGAAATACTTTATCCCACTCTTCCCAGCCTGGCCTCCTCCCCGCTTCAGGCTCTTCAACTGGCCTCTCCTTCTATTTCCTTCCCTCGGCGTGACTCCTAGCACAGCAGCCCTGCTGGACTGGAGGCAGGCGCCTCTCCTGGGGACACTGTCTGCGCCATGGGCACGCCCTGCGCTGCGGCCTGGGGAGCTCGGTGCTCCTCAGGCAGGAAGGGGGCTTGGAGCAGTTGGCATACTGGTTGCAGGCAATGGCTCCACCACTCCTCTCCACTCTCCACCAGCTCACAGGAGATTCACATGCTCCTGGGAAGCCCAAGGAGGGCCCTACATGCCAACCCAGGGCGTTAATGTGCAGGAGTCAGCTCTGTCTCAGGAAGGGGATTCTCAGCTGAGTGAGGTCTCATTGCTGACACCTAACAGGAACTCCTTTTTAAATGTAATGGCTCAGAGCTTCTGTCTGTCCCTCTGCCCCACATTCAAGTGAGCGTATTTTCCGTGTGTGCATGCTGCTGAAGAGGGCGCAGAAAAGCAGCCTTGCAGAGGACAGAGGTTGGAATACCTACTGAGCAAGTTGTTCAGCTCATGCCATGCTTGTTAGGAGGAGCCATGGTCTCTCCCTAGTGACACCGTGACTTGCCATTGCATTCCCCATCGGCCAGCTGACAGAGGCTTCTGCCTTGGGGCAGACGCTTGGAATTTTCCCTGCCAATATACACTAATATCAGAGCAAGCCTGCAAATTTTTGCTTTTACCCAAATTGGACAGCACAGTGTCCAGAATTTGGTAAGCATTCTGTATTGTATTTCTCTGAGAGTTAAGGGAATGGTAAATAAGCAGAAAAACAGGATTTTTGTTTTTAAGCATTTTCACCGCATAGTGAGAGCCGGTGCAGTTCAGCCCATTCTTCTCTTACCCCTTGTCTCCTATAGCACTGTCTGCCCCTCTCCATTGCCTCCAACTTCCCCCAGCAGAAAGTGTCTTATGGCCCTTAGATTACTACCAGACACTGCATGCCCATCCGTGGCTCATCAGCTAGGCCAGAGCATCTCAGAGTCTCCTATGCACAGGAATCACCTGGGATTCTGCATTTCTAACATGCTCCCAGGTGACGGCAAAACATGGACTTGGAGTAATGAGGTTCCGTGGCACTTCAAAAACACATCTCCTTTACTTCATATTTATTTCTACTGGAAAACTAGTATGGAATGATAGGTGGCTTGAACTGTGTGTGTGTGTGTGTGTGTGTGTGTGTGTATTTTCTTTATCAAATGCTCTATGCCCTGTTAATGTTGCTAACAGTTCTCTGGTCTGAACCATTCTCCTCCTAGGATTGCCTCAAAGCCTGCCAGGAGCAGATTGAGGAGGTGCTGATCAGCAACCTGCAGCAGTTTCAGGAGCAGGGGGATGGATCCAAGGAAGAGGAGGAAGTGGTGGACCAAGCCAGCACCCCTACAGACGTGCGTGATATTGACCTGTGAGATGTCAGTCGGGCCGCAAGGGAGAGATGTGTTCAAATCTGCTCTCTCCTTCTCTCTGGTTGTTTTGTTATGTTTTAGGGTGAAATTAAAAAAACAAAATTCTGCTCCCACCTAGATCATATTGAAGGATCTTTTAGAAGCGAGAGAAAAAGATCCTATAAAGCCGGAATAATTAAAAGCATTTGGTGCCTATTTGAAGTACAGTAGAAGGGAATCCCTTGTGTATGCGAACAGTTATTGCTTGTTTATGTTAAAAGTCATAGTAAAATGCTTACAGGTAACTGCAGAGTAGCTAGAGAAAATGTACGCCTGCATTATGGGAAGAAATTAGAGGAGACTTTTTTTTTCATGTTATAAACTAGCACGTATACACCCCTACTAGGATAATTTCAAGGAACTGCATATACATTTTATGGCACTAGATTGCTAAGCCATGAACTCGAGAAGGAATTGGAAACAAGGTTGGACACAGTGGGGAGGGAGGATGAAACAATCTCTCGAAGTGACTGAACCATTTTGGATGTAGAAGCACGTTTGGTCTTGACCACCTATGACTAAGTCAGGAGCATTGCTGGATCTCTAGTTAGGAACTCTTGCTGTCTACAGTAGCTGCTACCTAAAACAGATGTTTTACCTTCCAGTTGACACAGGTGATTTGGACCTGGGTTTATGTTTTTTGACATCTTGCTTCTTCTTCCAAACATGGTTCATTGCATATACCACCATATTTTGTCTAAAGGGGCAGTGTAGCTCTGGGCCATTACCAAACCTCACATGAAACAGAGGCAGATGGAGACCAAGGGTGGGATCTGGAATGGAATCTTTTAACGTCTGACAAGAGTAATGTGACCCTGGCATTCCTTATTAGGAGAAAACTAATTTTTGGTGCTGATTGGCATGTCTGGTCCACACTTTAGCGTTGTTATAAACCATTCCATTCGAAAAGCACTTTGAAAAATTGTTCCAGAGGGATAGATGGGATGGTTTATGCAAATTATACTGAATAGACTCCTCCCTTCTCCTCCGGTGCCCCTCCCCCTCCCACCTGGTACTATTCGCTTCTGGTATCTGATATTCTCTGGTACATGGTTCTGGTGTTCCCACTAGGACTGAAGAGACAACCCTGTCCGCTGACATTCCCATCACCACATTCCTCAGAAAAGTCTAAAAACAAAGATCTGTTATCATTTTGATGCATGTAAGGATCTTAATTCCCACCTATGTACTTCCCCTTTGGACATGGAAAGAAAAATTATTGCTGGTGCAAAGACAGCTGAACAGCAGTGTGGCATTTTGTTCCCTTATACACTTTTTGTTAATTAGTTGCAAAGTTGTTCAGTGTACTTGAATATTTTTCCTCTCCACATCTTAAACACATTCAGTTAGCAAGAAGTTGGAGCAATAACTTTTTTTTTTGCACAATTATAATTGACAGGTAATGAAGCTATTTGTTAAAATATTTGCCTTTTTTTAAGCAAAAAGGAAAAATCAGAACAGGGCTCCTTTGAAGAATTATTTTATACACAGATTCTGCCTTGTTTCATAGTATGAGGGTTGAAGATGGAGAAAAACGTAAGGGTCTCTTATTTTCATTTTATTATGCTCAGTTTTTTTTTATTACTTTTTTTTTTGCGCTGCTAAGAAGCTAATTCATCCTTATTCACATTAACAGTACCTAGCTGTAATGTTTTTCACAGTGTGCTGCTATTTTATAAACATTTTTATAATATATTATTTTACTGCTTAAATTCCAAGACCTGAAGTAGATGGTTGCTATATGAGTTCTTTGTACTGGAAAATCCCTTCCATAGTTTTTCTCCTGGTAGCATATTCACAGTTGGTGTTGGGTTTTTATTATCCCTTTTGGATTTTTTTTTTTCCTCTCTGATCACATTCTTCAAAGACAGAATATTCTTTACCTCAGGTTTACTGGTCAAAAATCAATAGCTACAACAGAAAACAATTCACATTTTTGTTTTCATAATACCTCACAACCATACAGTTTCTGCTTGGGAGCCCATGAGTGTGGGGAGAGAAGAAGGCGGGAGGAGGCTGTGGGCAATGGGGTGGGTTTGGCCCAGGGTCTCACACCCAGGGACCTCTTCAGTGGTGAAGGTCATCAGGCTTCCATTTTGACTCTGGTCTCCTCATCATGATGGAAAAAATACAATTGAACCAAGGGGCTTCCCCTCCCCCCACGCAGACATTCCGCACACACATTTAGGCAGTGGATGAGGAAGTCATGCTTTGCACTTAGGTATCAGGAGATGGGCTAAAGAATTCAGCAGGCTGCTGGGAGACCCTCATCTGACAGCCCTTCCTACAGCAGGGCTTTCATCACTAGGGTCCTCTCCTCTTGCAAGGACCTTTCCCTCCCTCTCCTTCCCTGACACAGGCATCCCCAGGTGATGGTGATCACAGAGGTTTTTCTAGGTCTGAATCTGCAGCTCGCAGTGTTGTGGGGATTCCTCCCCCCGCTGGTCTCCCACGGGGCAGCAGGCGCTGTGCAAGGCCAGGTCCTCTGCTAAGCAGCAGTGCATGTTTTAGGTTTACATCGCATTGAATTGGCGTGATGGGGGACATAGGTCAGATGATGACTGGATGGTAGCTGAGGGGGGTGGGGAGGCTGCTTCCACACAGAGATGGGAGTCCTGATGCATGAGATTCTCACAGGGTGTTTAGGAGGCTCAGGACTTGGTGAGTTAGCATCACCCTGTATTCTAGGGAGTTTCTGGTGGGTTAATGGGTGGTGAATTCTGAAGTTCTGGAGAGGAAAGCCGTGCAGGCGGTCTTTTATTAAGAGCCCACGTGGCACAGTACACTCTGGGGTCTGGGGAGCCCATAGCGTGGGAAGAGACGTGGTCCTAGAGTTCTGGAGGGTCTGGGAGCATAAAGACAAGATGAGATACAAACTTATTCCACAGTGACCAGCCCGTAAGCTCAGACGGAAGCAGCAGCAAATGAAAATCTGACTGGGAAGGAAGCAGGCCAACAGACTCCCTGCAGCCTATAACTTTCCGCTTTCTCTGAAGGCCCAGATGCCCTGGGGCCTGCTAGCCTTTTCTACTTCCTGTCCTCTGGGCCTAGGTGCTAGGTGTGGGGTTGCTGATGGGGAAGGTGCTAGGTTGTCTGGTTTTCCTGCCGGTCCCCTCCTTTAAACAAAAGAGGGAACTCGTTGTTTAAGTGGCTGACGCCCTCTCCTTGGCCTTGGTTTCCTCGGTAGGAGATTTTGTCTCAGAGAAGCTCAGTGCTCGTGGTTTTATTCTTTTATTTTTCACTTCCTACTTAAAGGGGTTCCAAACCTGTTCTGATCTTTTTCTACTTTTAAACAACAACAACAAAATCTCTTTTTTACTTCCTCCTCTCTGTGTTTTTGTTTTTCTCCGTCAGTGGGGGCTAGGTTTTTCCCCAAGCTTGCCAAATTTTGTTCCTATCCCTGTTTTGGCCAAATCCTAGGTGGGGAAAATCCTCGTATGCCAAAAATATATGCTAAGCATAATTTAATCCCATGCAGGTTCATATTAGCCACAAAGCCTGCAGGTGGAAGCAGGGGACAGATCCCCCAGCAGAGAGTCCCCGGTGCCCAGAGGACAGCCCCTCAGAATGGCTGCTCTTAGAGGAGCCTGGGCTGGGACTGCCCCAGGACCGCGGAGGGCTCACCACGCCTGACGGCCAGGTCCTCCTCGGTCTACACGCTTTGTTCAAGAGGCTCTGTTCTGCCTCTGTCATCCTGTCAGGGGCACACATGGCTTGGAGGCCAGCAGGGGCTTAAGTGACAAGGCTGGGGGAGGAAGCAGCTCTGACTACATCAGCCTCATTCCCTTGCTAGCAGGGTGGGCTTCTCTCAGAGGGCGCCGCAGCTTTCCTGCAGTCTGGCCCCTTCAGGGCCTCTCCACACTGCCCTGGGGGCTCCGGGATGGGGTTAATAAGGACAGTAGGCAGGATTGGATGACTTCTCAAAGTGGGCCGGGGAATTCTCCCTGGGCCAAAGCGGGTTGGCCTGGGGGAAGAAATAGACTCGCACCTTGTATCATGTAAATAATGATTTTCTAGTTCAAGGAGATGACACTGGTAGTGTGGGAATGGAAGGTAGGGATGGGAGGAAGTCTGAGTAAGCCAGTTGGCTTCTAAGCCAAAAGGATTCCTCTTTGTTTATCTTTGAGACAGTCCAACCCTGAGAATAGCTTTAAAAGGGAAATCAATGCTGAGACAGTAAAGTCCCCTTAAGCCAACAAACCAGCCATAGAGAGTGCAGGCTTCCACTGCTATGGGCTTGGACCCGTTTTCAAGAGCTGCTCATGCCATTGTCCGTTTGTACAAAATAGGGCAGGAAGACTGGAGAGGATGTTTATGACTTCCTCACGCCACATGGTTTCTCATGATTCTAGACTCTAAACCCAGAACATCATTCAGTCTACATTTTTCAGAACTATTCTCCTATATTTGTGTGCCTCTGCTTTAGACTTGGCTGGGCTATCAGACCTGATTCTTGGCTCAGGTTTCAAGAAGCCATCAGCAAATGTATCCATGCACGCTGTAGCCGCATCATTTATTCCTTTGCCTGCAGCCTAGGTTGGGGGAAAAAGTGCCTTACTGATTGTAGCCATTATAGTATTCAATGTATTTTAACAGGTGCCTGTCCTTTAAAAGCAAGGTGGTGTTTTGTTGTTCATGGGTTTCAGTTCTTATTGCTAGCCAACTCTTATCCCCAGCAAACCACCGGGCCATTGGATTTTTTCCATTATGTTCATTGCCCTTGTACCATGTACCTCAGATCTCTCAGTTACAGTGTCTCATCTTGGACTTCTTTTATTATTATTATAATTTTTTTTTTTTGCTTTAAACGAGTGTGATGCCATATCAAGTCAATGTAATTCTCTCACAATATACTCTATAAGAGGTGTGGGTGTTTATTTGGTCGGGATGCTAGCAAGTGCTAAAGTAGCATGATCAGTATAAAAAGGTTTTTAGGAAGTTTTGGAAAATGTTTTATTGGCTACGATGGTGACATGGTATAGTCAGTTGCCTTTGAAGAGGTCCTATCTGTTCAGTGTTAAGTGATTTTAAGAAATAATAACCTGTTATTCTGACTAGCGTAAAGATGGGTTTGGAAATGGTTTTGGATGCGATTAGTAATGATATGTGGACAATAAACTCACCTTGACCTAAATTCTCTGGCCACTTTGACTTATTTTTAGACCAGAACTTCCCACAAAGGAATATATCTTTCTCGTGTCAAAGCCCTGTTGGCAACATCTGATAGTGTTAGGATTGGTGTAAAATTCCAGTCCTAACCAGGAAGCTAACCTACAGGTGCATCCAGGCTATTGCAATGCAAGTAATTGATGACTTTTCCCCCCCTTTGGGTCACCCATGCTGCCATCTTATAAACTGGAAGCTTCAGCCCACCTTCATAAGGTGTGAAAGCACCTGCTGTCAGGATAAGGCCTCAGATGCTGGCCCCTTATTGCCAGCTGCTCCCTTCTGGCTATGAGTGAGCATCTCACGGCTTGGAAGGTGCCATCTCCACATTCTGGAGGGTCTCTGAGAGCCCTACCCCTGCAGCATTCCTGGCTCTCATCTGACTCCTGGCCTCTGCATCCCTCCCGCGAGGACTGGGCCACAACTGCCCTTGGTGGAGAGGTGGCGAGGCAGAGCCTGGGGAAGGGGTGGGAGAGCCAACACCTAAGTGAATTGCCAGGCCCTGGTCCCAGCAGCTCCAGAACCTCAGCTGCTCAGATCAGCTTCCTTTCCAGGAGTGATGGGGTGATACAAAAGGCAGTGGCTTAATAGCCGTTTTGATGTTACTATAAAAACTTTTCTCTATGGCTCACTCTCAGTTACTGAAGGCCGTTTTCCAGTTTAATAGTGGCTGGAGCTGTCTGCAGTAAGAGTAGTGCTGCTCATTGGCTACATCCAGATTAAGACAGTCCCTGTTTGTCTCAAGTAACCTCACCGAATAGGACTTTTAATCCTACAAGGACTCTAGAAATTCCCCCTTTGTCTCCATCCCTGACTGACATCACTATTCTTGCGGACAAACAGGGATAACTTTTTTCTTCGGTTTCTGCCTAGTGGAGTCTGCTGGGCCCCCTGGGTGTTTCCCAGGTTGTCACTCTCACCCACCTTCCGAATTCCCTCTGCATGACCTCCCATCCCTCCCCATCAGCTTACCCTGCAGTACTGGGGCTGTGTCTGTTAATAACACTAAAACGCCACTCCTTCCAAATGCCACCCAGACACAGGGTGTCTCCCACTCAGGCCTGTGGGTGTTTAAAGGTGGGAAGAGCAGACGAAGCATGCGCTGCACTCCCCACAGTGGGCTCGTGACACACCTACTGGCCCCATTACGCACTGTCAGACCTGTTTCATCTTACAATTAGAAAAGTTCAAATTTGAGACAAAAGTGCCCCTTCTGAAAGTGGAAATTAGGAATGAAATGAAGACCTAGAAACCCAAGACCTTTTGTTTGTGCTCTAGTGAGTGTGTTTGTATTTCTAATGATTTCCCAGAGATCTGGAACGTTCATTCAGCACACAGAGCTGACACCAAAACACAATGTTTCATTTGGCTTCGTAATAGCCTCAACATACTGTCATGATGCCAGTTTTCAAAGCTGGAGATCACCCCAGATGACTGCCCCCTGCTCTTACAGCGGTATCAATGGTACAAAAATGCTGGTGGCTGGGCAAGAAGGTTCAGAGTGGTATGGAAAGGAGAGCTTAGTGTCCATAGCCAAAGCGTGTGTGCAGGGCTACATGGGGCCTTCAAGGAAAAACCGACAACCAAACCCAAGCCCCATGGCTTAGGCAACACTCTATAGGAGACAAAACCCAGGCCCAGGAGGCTGCACAGAGGTGCAACTGCAAGTGCTAATGCCCGCGGAGTAAGGTGATGCCCCAATGTGGGAGGGGTGCTTTCTGAGGAGCTGGGGCAGGTGTCCTCAAGCAAATGGGTTTTAGGAACACACTTGGTAAGATGCAGCATGGTGTTCTACTCAACAGTAGAAACAAAGGTAGTTCTTTTCCAAAAATAAAGGGGTGAGAAGTGATCTTAAAGTTGAAGGGAAAATAGTAAAATAGCTTAACAAACACAGATGATAGAGGGGTTTTTAACATAGTAAGCACAGGTGTTACCCTCCTGAAACAGGATAAACTGAGCCCCAGATATGGATTGGGGATTTCCCCAGAGGCTGCAGAGATAAACCCTGCAGTCTTGACATGACTTCAGTCACGACTTCCCTATTTCCCACTCTGGGCCATGGGCCTGGGTGCCTCCCCTGGAATGAAGGGGCAGAATCTATCAGCTCAGACCACAGGTTTAGCAAGCAGGACAGCATGGCCAAAGGAAATAGACAAACCCCACTGATTTCCCTCTGGTCCTACCTCGGTATCCCACCCAGCTGTGAGTCGAGGTTTACCCAAAGCACACTTCCATTTCACGTGTGATGTGCTTCAGCGCTGGCTTTTACTTATCAGCATGTTCCCCCACTACCCTCAGACCTCCGTAGGACTCAACTTGGAGGTCTAAACATGGGGCGCTCCCTGGAAAGTCCACTAGGTGGCAACAATGCCACGACAGAACAAAACGAACCAGCGCAGCCAGGTGTGGGATGCCCAGAACCAAACACCTCTCCCCAGCGGGACCTGCAGTTCCCTCACCAGCTTCCCTCAGCACCACCACCATCTGACCACCACGGAGTGGCTGGTGTGATTCACGACTGCTTCCAATTCCTGAGACGGCGTACTGGCAGCCTACAGACCAACTCCTGCTTGCAGATGTATTTAGTTTGACTCCCACTTGGACTTTCTTGCTAAATAGGATGAGAGCTTTCACACACATGTCAGGATTTTAACTTCTCGGGAAATCTACCTTCTAGCAACAACAGGCCTGAGAGGCAGTGGGAGCTGCAGCGGAGGGCCTGCTCCCCACCACCCCCAGCACCGACCTGTTGTGGCAGAATGCATGGGAGAACGATCAGATCAGTTCGCAGATCTGCTTGTCCAGGGGAATTCCGGTCCCAAAGCCTGAACTGAACTCATGGGGAGGCTCTGACCTATATCTCTCCTCCTGTGGCAGCCCCTGAGGGTCCCCACAGCTCCACTCAAGTCAGCTGTGGCGGGGCCCTGGGGTTAGGCTCTGCAGCTCCGCCCAAGTTCAGTCAGAGTGGGGAAGTAAGACTACAGTTTTAACAGATACTGAACTAGGTTGCAAGCCCCCCTTCCCCATTTTCCTGCAGTCTTGACATGATGACTTCAGTCATGACTTCCCTATTTCCCACACCCACCTTCGGTCATTGACGCCACCTGCCTGTCCCCTGATGAGTGTGCAGCTCCGAAGCCTAAATTGTGCCTGCCTCACCTCTCTGATTATGAAGTAGGACTCCTGTAAGCCTCGGGGGAAAGCAAAAAGGCCTGAGACCCTCCCTCCACTTTCCTACCCCAAATGAAAAATACCTGCACTCTCTACTAGGCCTCTAATCCCCTTTCTCTCTTTATGGGTGTTAACTTGGGGCTGGGACAGATTTTTGAAATTCCTTTGAGACCATGTGAGTTGTCAGCCCACTCTGAGGTCGCCAGGTGGGCTGGATTAAAGATCAGTGTTTTTTCCCTGCTGTTGGTTTGTTTTTGCAGTCATTTGCTTGTTTTTGCTTTTCTGGAACCTTAACGAGCCCATGAGAAGACAAAGCTTTGAGATACCTGAATCCATTAGAAAAGTACAAATGCCACAGCTACACTTCAATGACCCCATCCATCAGTGACGATGACTTTTCATCATGCCTTTCCCACGTGGGGCTCCTGGGCCCTGCTCTTCATTCAGCAGAGGAGGGCTGGTTGTGTGCCAGGCACTCTGCACCCAACACCTCATTCAGCAAATGGTTCTTTGGCTCCTGCTTTTCCAGGCACTCCTTGACCTCGGTGGCTAATGGAGAAAGACAAGAAGTCACAGATGACTTACTTAACATGGTGGTGGGCCAGATTTTCAGCTAGGACTGCCCTAGCTGGTTTGGCTCAGTGGGTAGAGCATTGGCCCACGGACTGAAGGGTCCTGGGTTTGATTCCGGTCAAGGGCACGTACCTTGGTTGCAGGCATGATCCCCAGCCCTGGTCCGAGGGCATGGTTGGAGTGCATGTGGGGGGTAACCAATAGATGTGTCTTACATCAATGTTGTTTTCTCTCTCTCTCTCTACCTCTCCCCCTCCCTTACACTCTCTCTAAAGATCAATGGAAAAATATCCTTGGGTGAGGATTAACAAAAACAAAACAAAAAAGAACAGAAGGGCCTCCCTCCACTGCCTGCCCTGGAATCCTAAGCTCCCTTAGCTCCTCCATGACTGGTTTTCTTCATCTGTGAAAGGGGTGACATAACAGTACCTCCTGGGTTCCTTCCTTTTAGCACTTCCATTCACCTGGCACGTAGTGGGAGCTTGATAAACGTTATCTGTCTTCAAGGCTGAAGCAGACTGCCAGAGAGGCCTCATTTAGTCTTTTTGTTACTGTAAATCCTCACTTGAGGATATTTTTCCACTGATTTTTAGGGAGAGTGGGAGAGGGAAAGACAGACAGAAACATTGATGTGAGAGAAACATATCGATTGCTTCCCTCCTGCACAAGCCCCGACCAGGGCCCAGGCTGGGGAAGAGCCTGAAACCAAGGTACGTGCCCTTGACCAGAATCAAACCCAGGACCCTTTGGTACACAGGCCTATGCTCTGTCCACTGAGCCAAACCGGCTAGGACCCAATTCAGTCTTTTTAAAAGTTAATTTTACAGACAGGGACCAATTTTTTGCCTACTCAGTACTGCCAACTTAGGCACTGAGATGAGGGAAACTCTACATAAGCACTTCAGTAAGCCTCACAGCCCCCTGAGAAGTGGATACCTCATTTTGTAGCTGAGTAAACGGAGGGTCACACAGCTCGCAGTAAGGAGTCAGGAACCCAGAGGTGGCTGACTTCAAATATTACACACCTTCCCCCACACAGGGCTGCTGGCTTTGTTTCTGTCTTGCTCACTGAGAATTGAGCTGAAGGAGTGAGCTGTTCGGTTGAGGTGGGATGAATTGGATGGTGAAGTCACTGCTGAAATCATCGGAAGATGGACTGTCACCTTCAACGTCGACAAAGTCAAGAAGAAAGAAAAAGGCCTTACAATTGAAGGAGAAGTTTGT